CGCTTTATTTTACTGAGCCCTGGCTTAAGCAGGAATAATAGTTTCTACCTCTACCAGGATCACAAATTCCAACTGCAGACCAAACCAAGTTGGGGGGGGTATTGAAATCTATTATTAACCAAATTTTTTGTTTAGCCCCACTGTTTGTGATGTTTGGGGGAAAATACTTTTTGCTAATTTTACTGAAAAAAAAACCTTAAAGAGCCTTAAAAAATCGGTGCCATTTCCGGTACCCACAAAAAACACCCCAAATTTCAGTGAAAAAATTAAAGTCAAATAAAAAACAGACAAATGAAAAGCACCACTTTCTTAGCTGGAGACTTCAACATAAAACCTTTGGCTTACTAGATGTCAGCCTGTAATGATTTCATCAAAAATATGAAAAAACCACACTTTCATACCAACAAAAACTAAACCAACCGGCTCATGGCAAGTGAAAACCTAAGGACCCCTTTGGGACCAATATACTAGCCCCCCTTAAATAGGGATAATCACAGATGCCTCAGCCCTACCCTACCTTCTCCTGAAAACATAGAAACCCACCACTTGAATAAACAAAGTCCATTTAGATCCATGACGAGGCCTCAGAAAGGAAGTTACAGTGCTAGGACTTTTGTTGGGCCTAAGAATTCTCCGGCCAATGGTTTTGTTGAATGGACAGACATTTTTTTAAAAAATTTTACTTGATATACAACAAACATTGTCCTATAAAAAAAAAACAGATCACAAAAAAACGGCTTGGTGGCCAGGAACCAGCACCCCCCTGAAATCCATTGCAAAAAACACCATATGAAAAAACAATATAGAAGGCTTTAACAAAAATATTTTAAAACTATTCATCAGCTCTCACCAAAATAAAAAAGAAAGCCCAAAAAACATACTCTCCAGCAGATTCACAGACACTGGGGATTAAAAAAAACCTGGAAACACTTCTCAGATTCTAGGGGCCCCCAAACTGGAAAAACCAAAAATATTGTCCTAAAAAACCTAATGAACACCCTACTCCCCCTGACAAGCAAAAAGATAAACGACTTTTCTCAAACCCTAGGTCTAATTCGCCAGTAAAATCCCACATACCCAAAGCCCATGGGGGACTACCTAATGGGTTTCCCTTAATCCTTTATCTTGCCAATGAGCCAGGAAGTCACTGAGATTATAAAATACTTAAAAAATAACTCGGGGGAAACTGTCTCTTCCCACCCTCTGTCAAGCGAGCGGCCCCCTGTCCTTTTGCATGCTATTTCATTACTTTTTAAAAAGTATAGAGCTGCACCTTCCCGAAATACTCCGATGGCAGGGTTTCCCAATACATAAAAAGGGGGTGACCCCACAGAATTAAACAAAAAATAGGCCTATCTAACTTACCCTTGCTATCCCAAATTTTTGAGAAAAACCCTGCACAGGAGAAATGTATTTATTTTTTAAAAGGTCAAAACTATCAAACCCCTGCCCCAAATTTTGGGTTCAGGAAAAAAAAGATTAATATGCAATCAAAAAAAATGTAGTCTGCTTTACACAGCATTGGAAAATTAAGGAATATCCATAGGAATTTTTATTTACTAAGAAAGCTTTTGAACGAGACCACGACATCCCCCCCAAAATTTTCATTACGGTATAAGAGGCCCTGGCTTTCTTTTCAAATCTTAAAATTATAAAGGGATCAGTAGTCACATTAAGACAAGCAAAAGCAACACGGCCACTTGATATGGAGTTCCGCGGGAAATGTCTTGGTCCCCTGCTTTCCTATAACTCAATGACCCTTTCCAAAAGTATCCCAACACCTGAAACCCATTCTCTTTGTGATGATACGATTATGTCTCTCTCCCCCAATTTGCCCCCTCAACACCATTTTGGAATGAGGGGGCGATTAAAATATGACTTGGATGACGCCAAAAAACTTCGCTTAACCTGACAAAACCCACTATATTATGTTTGGTAGCAGAGCGGAGATGCACAAAATTTAAAATTGATTGACAACATTTAATTACCAAAAAATAATGGGGGAAATTCCTAGGGTTATACCTTGACAACAAACCCGAATTTCAGCACCCCCATCCCGCATATAACCAAAAAAGTATCCAAAACGGGTTGGGGTCCTTCCCGATACGTACTACGTGCCGCAAATCCCTTCTCCATATACACTACTTATTATCCCCTCCCCCACCTATGTTTTGTGCTTGGGGATCAAATGCAGAACACACCTAAAGCCAATATTAAAAAAAAAAAAAAGTGCAGTAAGAAAATCACTAAATCCCATCCCCGGAAAAACACCCCCCCCCCTCTTTTAGACCTAAATTTCTCCCCGTTCAGTACATCCACACTTACTACTGTGCAATTACAAACAGGGGCCTTTTAAAATCTAAAATCACCTTGACCTAAAACGTTTTTTGATAGTTGTGACGAACCCACGGTAAAAAACCGCACAAACATTTACGACATTCCCCGTGTCCGACTAAACCTTTTCAAAATTCAATGTTGTCAAAGGCCCCCAAAATCTGGAATACCCTACCTGAGAACTCTAAAAATGCAGACACATTTTTCACCCTTTAAAACTACCATTAGAAAAAATTTTATTCCTGATAACCCCCTCAACTAACTACACGAATACCCCTGGTGATTCACACTTACACTCATGATCATTTGACCCTAAAAAGAAAAATTAAATCAATCTTAAATAATGAAAACTGTGATACTCAATACGAAAAATGTTCTGTGCCAAAACAAAATTATTTTTTTATTTAAACAAGGGGGGAAAACGCTAAACCCCGGGGGATTTACAGCGCCTTGGGGGGGGGGGGTGTGGAAAAGGGATTAGGCTTAATTCGGGGAACTGGAGCCAGATCCAATTCCCCAAATCAAGAGCCCTCACCAACATCAAGGAAATTCCTTGAGGGGCCAAAACAAAAGCTTTACATTGCTAAATTCCAAATATTTTATCACTTAGCAAATACCAAATTTTCCCCTATTTGTAATTTTACAATTAAAAATAAAACTAAGTCTGCCCCAAATGCCCAGCCATGCTAGGTGTTTGTGGTACACTCGTAATCACTATTTTTAAAATGTAAACCACACAATAACCAAAATTTCTGTAAATCAGCATTGTAATCCTTTTAGGAAAAAAACTTTGAATTTGAAAGAATTTTAATCATCTGTCATTTTTTTAGCAGATGGATTGATACAATGTTATGGGTTTTTTAGGCGAGATCTCCAACAAGATCATCCCCGGTCTTTGACGTTAGTTTTTACTCTTTGTGTGGTTGGAATTTTTTTTTATACTTGTGAAGTTTTATTTCCTCAGTTTTCCCTTCGGGAAATTGAAATTTTTTCATTGAATTCATATTGTTTTTCTCTAGCTCATTGAAAATTTGGTTGTGTCCCCCTGGAGCCTTGCAGTGGCAAAAGGAAAACAGTCATGCAGTTCTTTTGTATTGCAAAGGAAGACACGGTGTGTGGCTTACATCTTGTCTAGTCAGATATGAGGATGAGAAACAAGATGGGAGCGGTATGTGCCTTGCAGGAAAAAAGGGTTTTCACCATAGTGTCTCGTTTTCTCTGTTGACTATACTCTTTGTGTTCTATTTTTCAGGAAATTATAGACCCCTCTACCCAATTTTTCCCATTATTCTTTGCACGCATTTTGTGCGCTATTACGCCATGGGCACCTTGTCGAAGCTTTTGCAAAAATCCGTGTTATTAAAACTGCAATCTTTTTGTCTTCTAGTGTCTAGGACCCTTTTCAGCATAAATACCCCTTTTTGGGAGAATAAATAGGAGGCAACCCCCCAAAAATTTTTAAACTTAAGTAAAGTCAGGCATCAGATTTATACAATCCCCGACAAAGGTGTCTTAAAAGAATCATAACAGTCTAATAAATGATATAAAAGGGATAGTATAAATTTAAAATTTTTTAATAAAACAATGGGTTAAATAAAAATTTTTTTATTATAAACAAAAAAAAAGCGCTAAAGCCACAAGGACTTACAGTGGGTTTAAAAAAAGGCACAGTAATTGATTTCAATAATTTTAACACATTTGTGTAATTGAATTTAAAAAATTGAAAAAATATTACAAAAATATGGATATGTCACAAAAATGAGTAACCTTTTTTTATTTTTTTGACATTAAAATGTTTACAAAAATTTAAATCTTTTCCTTATGGAATTCCGAAAAACAATTCTCTTGGTTTAGCAAGATTAAACCCTTTAGTAGGAACAAGAAAGGAAGGTGGTCCTCTTGTTCTTGGTGTTGCAATGTTTACTGAAAGCCCCTTTTTTTAAATGGCCCGTGAGGGTGTTTATCATATTTTTTATCTCATGAGCCTTTTTCCATGCGAATGAAAAAAATTTTTCAAAATGAAGAAGACCCTTTGAAGACGTGAGTGAAAATTTGGAGACAGTCTGGGTCCTTGGGATTTCCCGGTTGGTTTCTTTCAGAAAGGGAGATGGAAAACCGAATTCCTTGGGTTATGTATTTCTCTTTCAAAAACACCCCAGTCACGCCCCTACAAAAACCGCGTTGACACAACAAAGATCAATGATTATCCCCAAAAAGCCTTTGTCACGTTTTTCTTTGATGGGACTTGTGGTGAAAACCAAAATAATTTTATCTATACCTCCCTTTTGGGCTTTTTTTCTTTATGACTGAGGACAAAACAACATCAACCTTTTGTTTGGTTCCTTGCTGACCTCTTTTCTTTGTCACAGGGTGATGCCTGTCATTTGTCAATAAAAAATAACAACCTTACTGTTTTCCAACGCACGCAAGGACCCATCCAATGAAACAGTAATCCATAACACCCCCTTTTCACTTTTTTTTTCCATGTATTGACGACTAAGTGGTGGATTTCCAATCCTATTTTCCTTGCAGTACCCGTTTTCCGCAATTAAGGAGTATGCAGAATTTACTTGAGGCAAACTGGTAAAGAAGTTATCTGCATAAAATTGCACTAGTCTTTTGTTTGGTCCGTCTTTGCAAGGCAAAATAACAAACCCTTTGGAACTTTAAAGGATTTTTTTCTCCTCCTCTGTTAGGCTAACATTGTGATAATGAAAGGTTGTTTTACCTTGATACATCATTATGTCATGTATAAACCCATCATCACTGGCACGGCAAAAAAGTTTGAAACCCCATTTATCAGGCTTGGTCCTGATATATTGCCTGAGGTTTCCTGCTCTTGTTCCCTTATATCCCACCATTACCTCATCAACTGATTGTCTAGGTGTAGCAGGAACTTTTAGGCATGCTTTTGTTAGACCATCAAACAGTGGTCTTATTTCATGGAACCTGTCACCTGTTGCGTTCTTATTATCATTTGCATGAATTGTTGTCCTCAGTAACCTAAACCTTTTAGATGTCATAACATTTGCAATATCAGGATGACAATGGTAATAGGACCAGTAATCCTCTAAAGATGGCAGGCTGTCCATACTCATGTATATCAGAATTCCAACAAATTGCATTAGCTCTTCACTAGTGGTGTTGAAGTTAGCATTAACATCTTTCTGTGTTGCATACAAGTTTGTGTTAAATACAAGGCTTTCCAACATTTCAACAGTAAATAATTCACAAAAATATTCAAATGGTTTCTTGACATGTGTTTGTACCTCATGTTTGTAGTCAGGTAATGGAGTATTTGTTATGTCAAGTTTGCTCCAGGTGGCATTAGTGTTGTTGACAATTCTTTCATCAACCTCATCATCTTCAAATACTTGTATACGTATATTTCTTCGTTTTACACTAACTCGCCGACTTCTCGTAGACAATTCTTCATGTTCATCTTCACTTGAAGCTGAAGCATCTGGCTGTGGCTCATATTCATCTGCAGAATCCACTTCCTCATTAGTGTCACTGTCATCATATAACTCTGGCACAATGTAATCCCTTTTTCTATGAGCCTTTGATCCATAAAACACGTTTGTGTTTAACTGAAATGAGCAAAAAACACAAAATGAGCATTTCAATTGAGCAAATTTTATAAATTTACAAGGTAAATGTGTACTTTAATAATAATAATAATAATAATAATAATAATAATAATAATAATAATAATATTTTATTAGGACATGATACATAGTTGTACAAGGTGTTATAGAAGTTGATTGTACATGTCGGAAGCCCCTTGTATGCAGAGCATTACAGGCAGGCTATAATAAGCTATCTAAACTATAATAAGTTACTGTAGACAATTTACAATATCAAGTACAATTGAGTTATTTTAAACAATGAATTTGAACATTTCAGTTTTGAAGCATTATAGTTTTACAATTTTGTAACATTACAGTTAGTAATATAACAAAATGGTTAATTTACTATTTGTAGTTGTATAATTTAATAATCAGATCTAATCAAATCAAATCAATGATCTGTAGTGCAGTAACAGTTCATATGGTCATTAGATGAGTTAGAGTGCATTCAAGAGAATGGATTATTCTATTAGGTAATGCTATAAAAACATAGTTTGATATATATATATTGATTATATATCAATGTATTTGTTTCAGCATGCAATTGTTAGCTATGAATGACAAAGATGGTTTAATTGTTATCTGTTAATCCATGATATGTGATACCTTCATTGGCACATTTGTTATCACCATTGTTGGGATTCGCCTCACTTAGGTACCATTCAGTGGCATGTGATGTTGTGATGTTCTATCGTTGTCGGGCCATGACTCATATTTGATACAAAAAGAGGTAAACAAAACTTCAAGTGCATTCATTTGTTACTTCTCAATGCCTCAGGCAATTCATTTGCATCTCAAAATGAGGTTCAAACATTCAATAATGCACTGGAAACACATTCAGTAACTTACTGCCATTCTGGAGTGGTGTAAACTGGTGAAATATCCAGAGAGTGAGGTTGAAGATGCTGCTCCTTCAACAATTCAGACAGTACTGAAGACTGCTGGAGCTCCAGCCAGTAGCAGTCGACAACACCCAAGCGACGCCACATTCAAGCTCCGCCCAGGCTTGTGATTGGTTGGATTGAGATGAGAAGTCTCTCTGAGGACGCCCATTGTGTTCATGGCGCCATGAAAATGATGCTTTTATCGCCTCATTTTTGACACAAGCATGGTAAAGGGTAAGAATAGGTTGGATGAATATTTGAGAGATAAATTTGATTTGAGGACTTGCCAAGTACAGGAGAGCCCTGCATATTCAGTGCCCTCTTTTTGTATTCCACATTTCTCATGGTTTTCAATTGAGCTATTGTTCATTATGTTCAGTGATTTTTCCACTTTTCTGCCATTTTTCGCACAACAATTGCATAAGGGAAAGGCGATCAGTGCCATATTTTAAGGTATGGTATGTAGTTTACCTGAAGAGGATTTCAGGGGTTAATGCCCCTGCGGCTCGGTCTGAGACCAGGCCTCACGGTGGATCAGGGTCTGATCAACCAGGTTGTTACTACTAACCGCATGCAAGCTGATAACGAACCACAGCCCAGTTGGTCAGGTACTGACTTCAGGTGCCTGTCCAGTGCCTTCTTAAAGACAGCCAAGGGTCTCCCCCTTATGTAGGTTTGGAGGCAGTTGAACAGTCTTGGACCCCGGACACTTATTGTGTTTCTCAATATACTCATTGCGTCCCTGCTTTTCATTGGGGGAATGTTGCATCTCCTGCCAAGTCTTATGCTTTCAAAGGGAGTGATTTTTGTGTGCAGGTTTGGTACCAATTCCTCCAGGACCTTCCAAGTGTATATGTATTATCACGTATCTCTTTCGCCTGCATTCCAGGGAATACAGATCAAGGACCTTCAACCGTTCCCAGTAATTTAGGTGCCTTATCATGCTGATATGTAGTACTGTGCATTTTATTTTATTTTGTATGTTTTTTATGCCTAGCTGTATTGAGCACTTAATATATGATAATGTACACACATCAAGCATTTTAGACACTAATTACACGAATACCACCTGGTGGTTCACACTTGCACTCACTCACCCATTTGACCATAAACAGAAATATTAATCTCAATCTTAAAATAATGAATCCTATGATACTCCAATACTGAAACTATGTACTGTGCCAAAACAAAAGCATTCACATTGCTAAACTCACAAACTAGTATTTAGTCACTTAGCCATAATACCAACTTACCTCATAATTTGTAATATTTTAAAGTTAAGAATTAATCAAAGTCTGCCCGAAATGCCTAGCCATGCTAGGTGTTCTAGTGGCCCCCTCTGTAATTAGTATTTTACTACTTGTAAACCACACAATAACCAAATTCTGTAAACTCAGCATTGTAATCCTTATAGAGAATAAACTTCGAATTTGAATTTGATAGTGAAAAACGCTATTTTTCACTCACTGGCAAATTTCGCTATCATCGAAGACAGAATAATAAGAGCCATAGAAATCAGGCCTTCCTGTATAGGTTAGTAGGCCTACTGCGGTGTTCCTCCAGTCTTATGTTCCTAAACCTAAAGTCCATTTATTGTACTTTACCTTGGCTATAGCTGGAATAATAAAATAACCAACAGAAGAGATATAAATTTATTGAAACCCTTCATAAGACAGTGGTTTATGTGAAATAAATAGTATTATTTGGAAGATAAAGCAACTGATTAGTGGAACTTACTAACACAACAAGCATGATTTGCAACCTGTAAATATATTTGCACTTTCTACTTAAGTACACCAGATTAAATAATCTGATTTACCAATGAACTTTGTCATTGGTTACAAAGGTTACAATTGTTACAATAATAAATGCTTTCCTTATATACCTATTACAATTTTTAATAATATTAATGACTATACTACTCTTATATAACTAAATCAAAGATATTTTTGGTTTAAATTTTGATCCACTAACACTGCTCTGATATAGAAAGCAATGCCAAATAAGAATACAATAGTTGTCATTTTAAATAAAAGGCAACAATTTGTCAGTATGAGAAAATTACAAACTAAAAATTTTCATCAAAAAGAGAAATAACCTTGATATGAGAAAGTTACAAACTAAAAAATCCTTTATAAAAAATGCTTCAACCTCGAGACACTCCTTCAGGAAGACCAAAAAATCCATTGAGATCGGAGGACATCGTTGGACTATGGTGAAAGGCTCAACAATGTGGCAAACAGCATCATTAATCACCAAGAAATTATTTGAGGGCACACTTGTTAAAGTTGGAAGCACGATAACACTACCCAGGAGCCTCATTCCATGCAAGCGTTAGTCAAGAAAAAAAAATCAAATACATACATTACCTACAATTTTTTTTTTTTTTTACCAAATGATCCAAAGCAACATTTAATTACTTTAATAATTATTCTAGCAGATCAAATCTGGATAAGCAATAAATTAATCATTTATTTAACAAAGCAATAAGCTACATTACCTAAGATCAAGAATTAATACTGCCATTTAAATCCTAGTGGTAGCTAGACCTTATAATTTCTCACAAAATACATAATACCATGCAAGCATAAACAGTGTACTCTCTATTAATTATTAAAGGCAGGATACAGTATATATTTAATACTGGATAATACTTAGTCATTACAGTATATTAAAAAACAAGCCCTTAACCCATATGGGTCATACACTACTGTAATGAATAGTCATATTTACGGACAGGCACAAGTAGAGTAAACCTTTGATATAAAGGACCTCAGTTTAACAGGCTTCATATATACAGGACAAAATCTGCTGGGTTAAATGATTTGGAAACAATGGACAAGGTTCATTGTTACAGAATTATCCATTATTGTTAAAATCATGACAAAATAAAATCATCTTTATTATCACAGTCACCACTACTGGACATCCTCTTTCCCTGATTAGTCCATTACACTGAGGTTTGTACATGAATGGTATATAATATTGACAAGATGAAGAATTAGACACATATGCAACATGTTGCACAAATGTCTGATTCTTCAAACTGTAGATAAGTAAGACATATGTGAAAGTTATGTATTTTTATTTCTGAGAATAAAGATAATTAACTGTTGCACATGTGTATTTTACACCTACTTGCTAACATTGTATACAATTATTATCGTGGTCGGACAGATGACTGACGGATACTTGGCAGACAAGCATTTCACCGACGGATTTTTGGTCGAACAGACATTTCACCAATGGACGTTTGGCCCAACGGACATTTCACCAAACGGAAAATTAGGTTAGGTTAGGTGACGAATTCCATTTTGTCTGTTTGGAGTAAATGTCTGTTGGCCAAATGTCCATTTGTAAAATGTCTGTTCGGCCAAATGTCCTTCGGTGAAATGTCTGTCAGCCAAAGTTCGTCGACCATCGGTCCAGGAACTGATTATTATAAAGCCTACCATAATACGGGCGGGATTGAACCCGCGGTCAGAGTCTCAAAACTCTGTGGTATGGTTTGTTTGCAATTGTGTCATTACGATTTCGTGAGTCATTATAAAGCCTATACTGTATTTGTCCAAGTTGACGCTTGTATGCATACTTGTCTCTGTCCACATACCGGTCAGTCTTGGACCCTCCAACCAACGACAGTGTTAGTGTATTACAAGAGGGACACCTTCCTGGGGGGTCTTGGTACTGAAGAGCTCTTGATCCAAGGAATTAGCTTTCCTCCTCTTTGTTGTATCAAACCTGACAGCCTTCCACTCTCCAGGCACTGTATGACCCATATGGGTTTAGCACTTCCCATGAATATTATAACACCAGGGAAAGATTCAGCTTAGTTTGTAATACGTGTACACTTTTTATAAATATTGGCTATAGTGACTATAGAAGTATAGGTGTACAGCATATGTACTATTGTGTGCATATCCAGTACAAAAATATAGATTTACTGCAAAATGTATAATCAAAATACAAATGTTTATACAGATAATGTATCTTAACTTAAAATTTATTTAGACTGGGTATCCCTGCAAGTTTGCATGTATATATTATTGTGTCAATGCACTTCTGGAAAGACAGCTATGGAATAAGTAATGGTGAGCGTGTTTTCTTTTTTGCCTCACCCTCCCATGGTCAGAAATGATCAATATGGTAAAAAGCAATAAATATGTATCCAATACAGTGCTTATCAGGCAACATTAATAAATTTGATTACATACTGAAATATTAAGGTTATAAATACAGGCACACTTCTGGCTAGACAGCTATTGAATGAATGATGATTAATGCGTTTCTTTTTTTGGGGAGGGTCACCCTACCTTGGTGGGAGACAGTGAATGTGGTTACAAAAAATACAGATTCAAAGTTAAATGAGGTATGTATGTGCAATTTTTTTTTTAATACATCAGCCATCTCCCACCGAGTCTGGGTGATCCCCCCCCCCCAAAAAAAAAAAAAAAAAATCTTTCACCATCATTGACATATAATCACTGTATGTGCAATTACCTATTTTAATTTGTGGTGGATGGTAATGGGGAGGCAAACCTAGGTGTTGATCCAGCCTCTCAACTTTCAACCAAGAAGTGAAAAAGTGATCATATTTATTTCTAGCATCCTGAACAGAATCTGCTTCCACTGTGTCATTGGTTAACTCATTCCACATACACAAATAACTCACACATAGGAGAATGAAACTTATGATGACGTTTGGGTCCAACTTGGACCATTTAGTTAATGGTCCAAGTCAGACCAAAACATCATCATAAGTTTCGTTCTCCAAAGTGTGGGTTATTTGTGTACTGTTCCAGTCGCAGTACTGTACCTTTTTATTCTTGATTCTATTTTTGTCAATGGGGCAATACTTGTGTAGTATACATTGTGCTAGTACCATTTATGGGCAGGGTCCCTTGCCAAGCCTTAGTCACGTGACTCCTTTGAAATGCACACGACTAGGCTATAGGCATGTCCTCAGTTATATCCAGACCTAAGCATAGACTGACGTTTGATCGACTTGGCTTCATCTTTGAGTTCAAATACACCACACTATAACAAACCATCTGCTGTATTCTTGCTACCACCACTTTCTAATAACAAACCCCAACATTTTTTAAATAGGAGTGAATGGAGATGAATGGTTTTTGGGGCCTGACAAGCTGTTGGAGTGTGAGCAGGGTAATATTTTGTGATGGGATTCAGGGAAACCAGTTAGCCGGACTTGAACCCTGGAGGTGGGAAGTACAATGCCTGCACTTCAAAGGAGGGGTTTGGGATATTGGCTGCTTGGAGTGACATCGAAACTGTCGTATCTGGGTGCCTCTGCAAAGACAGTGATTTTGTGTGAATGATGGCGAAAGTGTTGAATGATGGTGAAAGTGTTGAATGATGGTGAAAGTGTTGAATGATGGTGAAAGTGATTCTTTTTTGGATCATCCTACCTTGGTGGGAGACAGCTGGTGTTAACAAGGGCACCATTGGTTGTCCACTTGTTTAATGACCAATTTGCAATTTCCTATTCTTTAACACACTGGCTGCCTCCCACTGAGGCAGGGTAACCCAAAAAACACTTTCCCATTTATATTGAGTGATGGTGGAAGTGTTTCTTTCTTTTTGGGTTATCCTTGTGGTAGACAGCCAGCGTGTAGAAAAAAAAATTAAGACACACTGAGAGAAAAAACTTAGACAATGTTTCAGTTCATTCTGGCCCGGTGGTCTGGTGGCTAAAGCTCCCGCTTCACACACGGAGGGCCCGGGTTCGATTCCCGGCGGGTGGAAATTCCGACACGTTTCCTTACACCTGTTGTCCTGTTCACCTAGCAGCAAATAGGTACCTGGGTGTTAGTCGACTGGTGTGGGTCGCATCCTGGGGGACAAGATTAAGGACCACAATGGAAATAAGTTAGACAGTCCTCGATGACGCACTGACTTTCTTGGGTTATCCTGGGTGGCTAACCCTCCGGGGTTAAAAATCCGAACGAAATCTTATCTTATCTTATCTTATCTTAAGGAACAGACCAAAACATTGCCTAGAGTTTCGTCTTTAAGAATGGGTTATGAATTCTTCCAGGCACATTACTGTGGTCTTTTATTCCTTCTATTTGTAGCCATTTTGTGGGTGAGGGACTTGGTCTTCCAGCAGGCGTGCGTGAGCGTGTTTGTTAGGAGTGAATGGTGACGAATGGTATTTGGGACCTGACAATAAGATAAGATAAGATAAGATAAGATTTCGTTCGGATTTTTAACCCCGGAGGGTTAGCCACCCAGGATAAGCCAAGAAAGTCAGTGCGTCATCGAGGACTGTCTAACTTATTTCCATTGTGGTCCTTAATCTTGTCCCCCAGGATGCGACCCACACCAGTCGACTAACACCCAGGTACCTATTTGCTGCTAGGTGAACAGGACAACAGGTGTAAGGAAACGTGTCGAATGTTTCCACCCACCGGGAATCGAACCCGGGCCCTCCGTGTGTGAAGCGGGAGCTTTAGCCACCAGGCCAGTGTGAGCAGGGTAATATTTAGTGAAGGGATTCAGGGAAACCGGTTATTTTTATATAACCGGACTTGAGTCTTGGAAATGGGAAGTACAATGTCTGCACTCTAAAGGAGGGGTTTGGGATATTAGCAGTTTGGAGGGATATATTGTGTATCTTTATACGTATATGCTTCTAAACTGTTGTGTTCTGAGCACCTCTGCAAAAACAGTGATTATGTGTGAGTGAGGTGAAAGTGTTGAATGATGATGAAAGTATTTTCTTTTTTGGGGATTTTCTTTCTTTCTGGGTCACCCTGCCTCGGTGGGAGACGGCCGACTTGTTAAAAAAAAAAAAAATTGTAGCCATATGAGTTGAGCTATTTTTAGTGTCCCATTTTCTTTAATTACTGTAATTCATCATTCATATTTGTTCTTTAATTATTCTATCATCTTTTTCTTTTATTTACAGCAGCTGTAGCACACACTACTTTCTCTTGTAACTCACCTGAATCATCATCCTATAATGTTTTTCCTTTGATATTTAAATGCTCTCTATTTACTTTTTGCTGCAGATTATCTTCTATTTTTTATTTATTGTATTTTTTTCAGTTTTTAACAGAAATTGTAAAATAGATCCTATAAATTTACCGAAGAGGACCTCCAAGTAAAGGAAGCCAAAATACAATATACAATTATCGCTAAATGTTTAGTTTTCCTATCCAGTGTTTCATACAAAATGTTTGGAAGTCCAAATACATTATTCTTATTGAATTTTCATCTTTAGATCATGGCATGATTACCTACTTGTAGATACAGGAGTAGAGATATGCTTGTGTGTATGTGCTTTCTTTAGTCTATGGCAAAGTATTTTTTTTTTTAAGTTTCCAGTGGTTGTAGTACTCACTACATCATCTTGTAATACATTTCAGTACCTTACCACTCTGTTTTGCAAGTACAGTATATCAACAAATTGTTAACTTACAGATGCAGTACAATTGTACACACAAATGACAACAAACCCACACTTTGGAGGATAAATAAATGACATTTTGATTAGTCCCAGACTAATGTCACATTATAGTTTGACAGCAAACTATATACCAAAATCTCAACTACAGTCTGACAACCAAGGATATACAAACTGTCAAATACAGTTGACAGCAAAGGATATATCAAAATGTCATCTAAATTTCCTCTGTAAGGGGTTAATCGTGAACTGTTCCAGCCATGGCATTATAATTTTTATTCCTCCTTACAGTATACAAAAATTATAATCACTTAAGCAACCCAACACCATTATCTTCAGTAAAGAACATATAAAGTATATAGTAATTAGTTAAGCAGAGTTGTTGGGCCTCATCACCTTTGCTCTCTCCAGGTTTCAGGACATCAGCCAAGATCACCCTGAGCCTTCAACCATGCCCAAGATGATTTTCTTGAAGTCTCCGGAAATTTCACTCTGGAGTAATGAAATAGATCGCAGGCTATTAATATCAGGGTTGTGCAGAGATCAAAATTTTGGTAGATGTGAAGAAAACACCAGGTCAAGAGGAATTTAACTGAGATTACATCCCCTTTTTATATAAAGATTCAAGCCCTCAAAGTGGGAAGGGCATCGCCTACACTCTGAAGGTGGGGTGGAGAGATGTCAATACACTTTTGGATGTAGGGATTGAATGAATGAGGGTGAATGTGTTTTGTTCTTGGGGTCACACTGCCAGGGGATGATACAGAAACTGAGGTAGTAAAAACAGAACTTCCTTACACGGTCACATCATATCTCTAAGGAGCGAGAAGTCATCAAAATTAAATTACTTTTAACGTGATACTTTCTTGACATCACCACTGGTACCCATGCTTCCTTCACCAGTAGAAGATCATAATATATAGATAAGTCTTAGCCTTCAATAAGTGCCAGGAGCAATTTCTTGTAATCTCCAGAAGTTTCACTCTGTAACAATTGGAAGATATGAGTAAATTAATGGTAGTACATTCTACTCTTGCGTATAATTAAAAAATTTACTTTACACCCTTTACAAAATTTATTGGAAAGTTTATAACATTAATAAATGCCTCAAGAAGGAAATTTCTACTAACCACAGCTATAGCTAAAGTCTTCAACAAATGACTTTATATCCCAATCTTTTCCAGATAATAATTCAAGCCATGATCCAACTGACATTAAAAAGCATTAATCAAGGCCAACCCTATTATCAAAAATATCTGAAAGGTGTGATTCATTAACATTTATTTACTTATACGTATAATTAAAGACATTCTTCGGAACCCCTACAAAAAAAGTGGCAAAAAAGTTTTTTAGGTACAGGTGACGTAAGTACAGTCATCATACATAGTAACATATGAATAAACAGAAGGGTGGAGGAGGCACTCGAACAGTGGTCCATAAACTGACAGTTCGACACTCTACCGTCTAGGCAATTTATGGACTGTGATTCAAGCCCCTTGTCCACCTTTCCATGTATTTATTGACAGCTGTTTATTACAACTTAATTATCCATCAGCATAACCTAAAAAAAAGTCATACAAAGTGATCTATTTCCATTATTTCTGGGCTGTAGACTGCAGAAAAATGTCTAGAAGATTCTACAGTATTTGGTTTACTAACTATTGAAAGTTAATAACTCAGGATAATCCAAGCCAATCAGAGTGGCTTATTTCCATACTAAGAAGACATGATTAATAAAAATTCTAAATATATTTTCAAAAAAGCTTTTTTTATTAAGATTTCAATTATATGTATCAATAATTAATGAGTCATAATAGTTATAATACTTTTAAGTGGCAATTCTGTATTGAAATAATTGCACTATTAATACTGCAGTAATATAATGTGATTAACTTGACAAGAACACATTCCCAATTGTAATATTAATGATGAACAAAATCTTTTGGCATTGTAGGCACCAAAAATCCACTAATCTAATCTATAGTACTTTTTTTTTTTTTAAATGTTAGTGGTTGCAACATTTATTCCCTCTTACTGTAAACTATTCCACTGTTCTACCACTTACCAAAACAATAAATTTCTAGTGTCCTTTCAAACACTTTTGAAAGATTGTAGTCATGGTGTCTTTATCTCTATGATCTTTTAGCACTGAAGAGGTATGCATACTGTTGAATTAAGAAAAAGAGGACAAAAAAAAAAAACATGCCATTTCTATACTACAGAACCATTACAGTGTGTACCTTCCATGTCTTCACACACATCCTTGAAATTTACAAACACAACAGCAATTACCTGTGTAATGTCTTGGGAACAGTGTGTCCCGTAGCTCGATCACTAGCACACTCACCTCACACACTGAGGTTCGGAGTTTGAATCTCCGGTACAGCTGGAAAACATTAGGGACATGTTTCCGTAAGACACCTGCAGTCCCTGTTCACCCATCAGTATAAAATGGGTACCTGGGTGTTAGATGGCTTGTGTGGGTCACATCCTGGGACAAAACTGACCTAATTTGCCCGAAATGCTCAGCATAACAAACGGCTTTCTATACAGTATAGTATCATGTCATTGATGTCAGCTAAGCCTGTATACCTTGTTTTTTTTTTTTTTTTTTTTTTTTTTTTTTTCAACAAGTCGGCCGTCTCCCACCGAGGCAGGGTGACCCAAAAAAGAAAGAAAATCCCCAAAAAGAAAATACTTTCATCATCATTCAACACTTTCACCACACTCGCACATTATCACTGTTTTTGCAGAGGTGCTCAGAATACAACAGTCTAGAAGCATAAACATATAAAGATACACAACATATCCCTCCAAACTGCCAATATCCCAAACCCCTCCTTTAAAGTGCAGGCATTGTACTTCCCATTTCCAGGACTCAAGTCCGACTATATGAAAATAACCGGTTTCCCTGAATCCCTTCACTAAATATTACCCTGCTCACACTCCAACAGATCGTCAGGTCCCAAGTACCATTCGTCTCCATTCACTCCTATCTAACACGCTCACGCACGCTTGCTGGAAGTCCAAGCCCCTTACCCACAAAACCTCCTTTACATGTACTTGTACATGTAGAAATAAAGATATTATTATTATTATTATTATTATTACTATTATTATTACAACAGTGGAAGAATTAAATCCTTTGTTTGTTATTCTGTTTATGTTTGATCATCTATAGATGCTGTGGTGTCGACTGCGTTTGTTATCTGGTGACTTCAGGAGAGTACACTATTACTGTTACTCTGAATTTCATAACCCATTACAACCATAACAAGCTGTCTGTCATTTCCTATTGAAAATGCGATGCAATTAATACTTAATTTCAACATCAAAACACATTCTTTACCTGTTCCATTCTAAATCTGCATCTAAGGAGATACATAGTGTAGGCTAGCTTACTGTAAAAATATGACAAGGGAGAGACTTTTTGAGTTAAGATAACTACAGGTGCTCCTTGACTTACGATATTTTTACGTTATTTTGGCCTTTCAATGGTGCAAAAGCAATTACTTGGGAGATGAAACTTAAGATAATTACCCATTAGAAGGTGGTAAGTCCGTATTACCTGGAGTTTACCTGGAGAGAGTTCCGGGGGTCAACGCCCCCGCGGCCCGGTCTGTGACCAGGCGTCCTGGTGGATCAGAGCCTGATCAACCAGGCTGTTGCTGCTGGCTGCACGCAAACCAACGTACAAGCCACAGCCCGGCTGGTCAGGAACCGACTTTAGGTGCTTGTCCAGTGCCAGCTTGAAGACTGCCAGGGGTCTGTTGGTAATCCCCCTTATGTGTGCTGGGAGGCAGTTGAACAGTCTCGGGCCCCTGACACTTATTGTATGGTCTCTTAACGTGCTAGTGACACCCCTGCTTTTCATTGGGGGGATGTTGCATCATCTGCCAAGTCTTTTGCTTTTGTAGTGAGTGATTTTCGTGTGCAAGTTCGGTACTAGTCCCTCTAGGATTTTCCAGGTGTATATAATCATGTATCTCTCCCGCCTGCATTCCAGGGAATACAGGTTCAGGAACCTCAAGCGCTCCCAGTAATTTAGGTGTTTTATCTCCGTTATGCATGCCGTGAAGGTTCTCTGTACATTTTCTAGGTCAGCAATTTCACCTGCCTTGAAAGGTGCTGTTAGTGTGCAGCAATATTCCAGCCTAGATAGAACAAGTGACCTGAAGAGTGTCATCATGGGCTTGGCATCCCTAGTTTTGGAGGTTCTCATTATCCATCCTGTCATTTTTCTAGCAGATGCGATTGATACAATGTTATGGTCCTTGAAGGTGAGATCCTCCGACATGATCACTCCCAGGTCTTTGACGTTGGTGTTTCGCTCTATTTTGTGGCCAGAATTTGTTTTGTACTCTGATGAAGATTTAATTTCCTTGTGTTTACCATATCTGAGTAATTGAAATTTCTCATCGTTGAACTTCAAATTGTTTTCTGCATCCCACTGAAAGATTTGGTTGATGTCCGCCTGGAGCCTTGCAGTGTCTGCAATGGAAGACACTCATGCAGATTCAGGTGTCATCTGCAAAGGAAGACACGGTGCTGTGGCTGACATCCTTGTCTATGTCGGATATGAGGATAAGGAACAAGATGGGAGCGAGTACTGTGCCATGTGGAACAGAGCTTTTCATCGTAGCTGCCTCGGACTTTACTCTGTTGACTACTACTCTCTGTGTTCTGTTAGTGAGGAAATTATAGATCCATCAACCGACTTTTCCTGTTATTCCTTAAGCACGCATTTTGTGCACTATTAAACCATGATCACACTTGTCGAAGGCTTTTGCAAAGTCTGTATATATTACATCTGCATTCTTTTTGTCTTCTAGTGCATCTAAGACCTTGTCGTAGTGATCCAATAGTTGAGACAGACAGGAGCGACCTGTTCTAAACCCATGTTGCCCTGGGTTGTGTAATTTATGGGTTTCTAGATGGGTGGTGATCTTGCCTCTTAGCACCCTTTCAAAGATTTTTATGATATGGGATGTTAGTGCTATAGGTCTGTAGTTCTTTGCTATTGCTTTACTGTCCCCTTTGTGGAGTGGGGCTATGTCTGTTGTTTTTAGTAACTGTGGGACGACCCCCGTGTCCATGCTCCCTCTCCATAGGATGGTAAAAGCTCGTGATAGGGGCTTCTTGCAGTTCTTGATGAACACGGAGTTCCATGAGTCTGGCCCTGGGGCAGAGTGCATGGGCATGTCATTTATCGCCTGTTCGAAGTCATTTGGCATCAGGATAACATCAGATAGGCTTGTGCTAACCAAATTCTGTGGCTCTCTCATAAAAAATTCATTTTGATCTTCGACTCTCAGTCTGGTTAGCGGCTTGCTAAAAACTGAGTCATATTGGGACTTGAGTAGCTCACTCATTTCCTTGCTGTCATCTGTTCGATGTTTACTATTTCTCTGACCAGTGTCTCCCTACGCATTTCAGATATATTGACCTCTTTTAGCTGCTCTGTTATTCTTTTCCATCACCTGTAAAGGGAGCGCCTGTCTCTTTCTATTTTACTCCTCCTTTTTCTTAGAGGAATAAGCCTTGTGCATACATCAAGTGCCACCGAGTTAATCTGTTCTAGGCATAAGCTGGGGTCTGTGTTGCTTAGTATATCTTCCCAGCTTATATCGGTTAGGACTTGGTTTACTTGGTCCCACTTTATGTTTTAGTTACTGAAGTTGAATTTGGTGAATGCTCCCTCGTGACTAATCTCATTATGTCGGTCTGGGGCTCCGCGCATACATGTCTGAACCTCAATTATGTTGTGATCTGAGTACAGTGGACCCCCGCATAACGATCACCTCCGAATGCGACCAATTATGTAAGTGTATTTATGTAAGTGCGTTTGTACATGTATGTTTGGGAGTCTGAAATGGACCAATCTACTTCACAATATTCCTTATAGGAACAAATTCGGTCAGTACTGGCACCTGAACATACTTCTGGAGTGAAAAAATATCGTTAACCGGGGGTCCACTGTATATTGTTTTTGATATGGTGACATTTCGTATCAGATCATCATTGTTAGTGAAGATGAGGTCTAGTGTATTGTCCAGTCTAGTAGGCTCTATTATTTGCTGGTTTAAACTGAATTTTGTGCAGAGATTTAAAAGCTCATGTGAGTGTGAGTTTTCATCAGAGCTGCCTCCTGGTGTTATTACTGCAACAATATTATTTGCTATATTCCTCCATTTTAGTTGCCTAAAGTTGAAATCCCCCAGGAGCAAGATGTTGGGTGCAGGAGCTGGCAGATTTTCCAGACAGTGGTCAATTTTTAACAGCTGTTCCTGGAATTGCTGGGATGTTCAATTCAATTCAATTCAAAGTTTATTCTCTATAAGGATTACAATGCTGAGTTTACAGAATTTGGTTATTGTGTGGTTTACATGTAGTAAAATAATAATTACAGAGTGTACCACTAGAACACCTAGCATGGCTAGGCATTTCGGGCAGACTTAAATTAAATTAAATGCTGCATCCGGAGGCTTGTAGACTACCACAATGACTAGGTTTTGGTTCTCGATCTTTACTGCTAAAACTTCCACTACATCATTTGAGGCATTAAGCAGTTCTGTGCAAACAAGTGACTCTGCAATGTACAGGCCAACCCCCCCCCCCTTTTGCCTGTTCACTCTGTCGCATTTGTATAGGTTGTAACTTGTATTCATTTATTTACTTTTCAATAGTGGCATTTAGTTACAGTAATTATTTGTTTTTTACTTATTCAGTGATAGTAGTTATTTATTTACTTATTTATTATATAGGTAGTAGGTTGGTAGACAGCAACCACCCAGGGAGGTACTACCGTCCTGCCAAGTGAGTGTAAAACGAAAGCCTGTAATTGTTTTACATGATGGTAGGATTGCTGGTGTCTTTTGTCTGTCTCATAAATATGCAAGATTACAGGCATGTCTTGCTACTTCTACTTACACTTAGGTCACACTACACATACATGTACACGTTTATTTATACACACTCATCTGAGTTTTCTTTGATTTTATCTTAATAGTTCTTGGTCTTATTACTCTTCCTTTTATATCCATGGGGAAGTGGAATAAGAATCTTTCCTCCGTAAGCCATGCGTGTTGTAAAAGTCAACTAAAATGCCGGGAACAATGGGCTAGTAACCCCTTTTCCTGTAAAGATTACTAAAAAGAATAAGAAGAAAATTGTCAAAGTGGGAAGTCTGAATGTGCGTGGATGTTGTGCAAATGATAAGAAAGAGATGATTGTGGATGTTATGAATGAGAAGAAACTGAATGTCCTGGCTTTAAGTGAAACAAAGCTGAAGGGGGTGGGAGAGTTTCAATGGAGAGGAATAAATGGGATTTAGGTCAGGGGTTTCAAATAGAGTTAGAGCTAAAGAAAGAGTAGCAATAATGTTGAAGGATAAGCTATGGCAGGAAAAGAGGGACTACAAATGTATAAATTCAAGGATTATGTGGAGTAAAATAAAGATTGGATGTGAAAAGTGAGATATAGTAAGTGTGTATGCACCTGGAGAAGAGAGAAGTGTTGAGGAGAGAGAGAGATTCTGGGAAATGTTGAGTGAATGCGTGGGGAGTTTTGAATCAAGTGTGAGAGTAATGGTGGTTGGGGATTTCAATGCTAAAGTGGGTAAAAATGTTATAGAGGGAGTAGTAGGTAAATTTGGGGTGCCAGGGGAAAATGTAAATGGGGAGCCTTTAATTGAGCTATGTGTAGAAAGAAATTTGGTAATAAGTAATACATATTTTATGAAAAAGAGGATAAATAAATATACAAGGTATGATGTAGCACGTAATGAAAGTAGTTTGTTAGATTATGTATTGGTAGATAAAAGGTTGATGGGTAGGCTCCAGGATGTACATGTTTATAGAGGGGCAACTGACATATCGGATCATTATTTAGTTGTAGCTACAGTCAGAGTAAGAGGTAGATGGGAAAAGAGGAAGGTGGCAACAACAAGTAAGAGGGAGGTGAAAGTGTATAAACTAAGGGAGGAGGAAGTTCGGGCGAGATATAAGCGACTATTGGCAGAAAGGTGGGCTAGTGCAAAGATGAGTAGTGGGGGGGTTGAAGAGGGTTGGAATAGTTTTAAAAATGCAGTATTAGAATGTGGGGCAAAAGTTTGTGGTTATAGGAGGGTGGGGGTAGGAGGAAAGAGGAGTGATTGGTGGAATGATGAAGTAAAGGGTGTGATAAAAGAAAAAAAGGTAGCTTACGAGAGGTTTTTACAAAGCAGAAGTGTTATAAGAAGAGCAGAGTATATGGAGAGTAAAAGATAGGTGAAGAGAGTGGTGAGAGAGTGCAAAAGGAGGGCAGATGAAAGAGTGGGAGAGGCACTGTCAAGAAATTTTAATGAAAATAAGAAAAAATTTTGGAGTGAGTGAAACAAGTTAAGAAAGCCTAGGGAAAGTATGGATTTGTCAGTTAAAAACGGAGTACAGGAGTTAGTAGATGGGGAGAGGGAGGTATTAGGTAGATGGGGAGAATATTTTGAGGAACTTTTAAATGTTGAGGAAGAAAGGGAGGTGGTAATTTCATGCACTGGCCAGGGAGGTATACCATCTTTTAGGAGTGAAGAAGAGCAGAATGTAAGTGTGGTGGAGGTACGTGAGGCATTACGTAGAATGAAAGGGGGTAAAGCAGCTGTAACTGATGGGATCATGACAGAAATGTTAAAAGCAGGGGGGTTATATAGTGTTTTAGTGGTTGGTACTTTTGTTTAATAAATGTATGAAAGAGGGGAAGGTACCTAGGGATTGGCAGAGAGCATGTATAGTCCCTTTATATAAAGGGAAGGGGGACAAAAGAGATTGTAAAAATTATAGAGGAATAAGTTTACTGAGTATACCAGGAAAAGTATACGGTAGGGTTATAATTGAAAGAATTAGAGGTAAGATAGAATGTAGGATTGCAGATGAGCAAGGAGGCTTCAGAGTGGGTAGGGGATGTGTAGATCAAGTGTTTACATTGAAGCATACATGTGAACAGTATTTAGATAAAGGTAGGGAAGTTTTTATTGTGTATGTTTTATTGCATTTATGGATTTAGAAAAGGCATATGATAGAGTGGATAGAGAAGCAATGTGGCAGATGTTGCAAGTATATGGAATAGGTGGTAAGTTACTAAATGCTGTAAAGAGCTTTTATGAGGATAGTGAGGCTCAGGTTAGGGTGTGTAGAAGAGAGGGAGAATACTTCCCGGTAAAAGTAGGTCTTAGACAGGGATGTGTAATGTCACCATGGTTGTTTAATATATTTATAGATGGGGTTGTAAAAGAAGTAAATGCTAGGGTGTTTGGGAGAGGGGTGGGATTAAATTATGGGGAATCAAATTCAAAATGGGAATTGACACAGTTACTTTTTGCTGATGATACTGTGCTTATGGGAGATTCTAAAGAAAAATTGCAAAGGTTAGTGGATGAGTTTGAGTATGTGTGTAAAGGTAGAAAGTTGAAAGTGAACATAGAAGAGTAAGGTGATGAGGGTATCAAATGATTTAGATAAAGAAAAATTGGATATCAAATTGGGGAGGAGGAGTATGGAAGAAGTGAATGTTTTCAGATACTTGGGAGTTGACATGTCGGCGGATGGATTTATGAAGGATGAGGTTAATCATAGAATTGATGAGGGAAAAAAGGTGAGTGGTGCGTTGAGGTATATGTGGAGTCAAAAAACGTTATCTATGGAGGCAAAGAAGGGAATGTAGGAAAGTATAGTAGTACCAACACTCTTATATGGATGTGAAGCTTGGGTGGTAAATGCAGCAGCGAGGAGACGATTGGAGGCAGTGGAGATGTCCTGTCTAAAGGCAATGTGTGGTGTAAATATTATGCAGAAAATTCAGAGTGTGGAAATTAGGAGAAGGTGTGGAGTTAATAAAAGCATTAGTCAGAGGGCAGAAGAGGGGTTGTTGAGGTGGTTTGGTCATTTAGAGAGAATGGATCAAAGTAGAATGACATGGAAAGCATATAAATCTATAGGGGAAGGAAAGAGGGGTAGGGGTCATCCTTGAAAGGGTTGGAAAGAGGGGGTAAAGGAGGTTTTGTGGGCGAGGGGCTTGGACTTCCAGCAAGCGTGTATGAGCGTGTTAGATAGGAGTGAATGGAGACGAATGGTACTTGGGACCTGACGATCTGTTGGAGTGTAAGCAAGGTAATATTTAGTGAAGGGATTCAGGGAAACCGGTTATATTCATATAGTCAGACTTGAGTCCTGGAAATGGGAAGTACAATGCCTGCACTTTAAAGGAGGGGTTTGGGATATTGGCAGTTTGGAGGGATATGTTGTGTATCTTTATACGTATATGCTTCTAAACTGTTGTATTCTGAGCACCTCTGCAAAAACAGTGATAATGTGTGAGTGAGGTGAAAGTGTTGAATGATGATGAAAGTATTTTCTTTTTGGGGATTTTCTTTCTTTTTTGGGTCACCCTGCCTCGGTGGGAGACGGCCGACTTGTTGAAAAAAAAAAAAAAATTATTAGCATCTCACATTTATATTTGACTTACAATGGGTTTGTCGGAACATGACTCCATCATAAATCAAGGACCACTGATACATTGAAAAAATTACCCTTTCACTCTGAAGTCTTTTACTCTAACATTATATAATAATAAGGTATGTAAAACTGTTTGACCAACCTTGATGTCCTGATCTAGAGGTTTCTTGTACAGTTTATGGTATTCTTGTTTGATATTGCCCATGTCTATTTCACAACGAGACACCACCAGGCGAATCAGAGCACGATCATTGGTGCCCAGACCTGCCATTGCAGCACGCAGCTCCTTGGCAAAGTACTCAGGACGGTTCAGGATGGACGTGTCTATAGCAGGAGATTAGTTTTACTTACTGAGTAATGAGTAATAATTTTAAGGCAGAAAGCAATGTTAAAATTATTAAGAAATACAATGTATAATTATGTACAATACATGAATAATTATAAGATTGAACTCATAACAAGCAATGGCTGCAAGTTATAAGAGGCTGTCAACATGGCTACGAGGACAGAAAAATCCTTTCAACTGGCCACAGGTATGTTACTTATAATGAGAATACTAACAGATTGCCTGCATGCCAAGCTTCAAATCTCCAGACAACTCAGCATTTATAGCATCACCAAAACTCTTCTTGCTGATCTTAGAGTATTCCTCAAACACACAGCGCAGTAAAGGGTAGGAGTATGAAGACAAGATGCGGTTGAATTCTGCCTCATCAGTGCCCATCTTCCCTTCACCTAAAAGAGTTACAACAATAAGAACGTAAGAAATTATTTTATGTTGTAAAAGGCGACTAAAATACTGGGCTTAAGAGGCTAGTAACCCCTTCTTCCTGTACGCATTACTAAATTTAAAATGAGAAACTTTCATTTTTCTTTTTGGGTCACCCTGCCTTGGTGGGATTAGGCCAGTTTGTTGAAAAAACAAATAATGATAATAATAGTATTTAGATAAAGGTACAGAAGTTTTCATTGTATTTATGGATTTAGAAAAGGCATATGACAGAGTGGATAGAGGAGCAATGTGGCAGATGTTGCAAGTGTATATGGAATAGGTAGGAAGTTACTAAGTGCTGTAAAGAGTTTTTATGAGGATAGTGAGGTTCAGGTTAGGGTGTGTAGAAGAGAGGGAGAATACTTCCCGGTAAAAGTAGGTCTTAGACAGGGATGTGTAATGTCAACTTGGTTGTTTAATATATTTATAGATGGGGTTGTAAACGAAGTAAATGCTAGGGTGTTGGGGAAAGGGGTGGGATTAAATTATAGGGAATCAAATACAAAATGGGAATTGACACAGTTACTTCTTGCTGATGATACTGTGCTTATGGGAGATTCTAAAGAAAAATTGCAAAGGTTAGTGGACAAGTCTGAGAGAGTGTGTAAAGGTAGAAAGTTGAAAGAGAACATAGAAATGGGTAAGGTGATGAGAGTATCAAATGATTTAGATAAAGAAAAATTGGATATCAAATTGGAGAGGGGGAGTATGGAAGAAGTGAATGTTTTCAGATATTTGGGAGTTGATGTGTCAGCAGATGGATTTATGAAAGATGAGGTTAACCATAGAATTGATAAAGGAAAAAAGGTGAGTGGTACATTGAGGTATATGTGGAGACAAAAAACATTATCTATGGAGGCAAAGAAGGGAATGTATGAAAGTATAGTAGTACCAACACTCTTATATGGGTGTGAAGCTTGGGTTGTAAATGCTGCAGCGAGGAGGCGGTTGGAGGTGGTGGACATGTCCTGTCAAAGGGCAATGTGTGGTGTAAATACTATGCAGAGAATTCGGAGTGTGGAAATTAGGAAGAGATATGGAGTTAATAAAAGTATTAATCAGAGGGTTGAAGAGGGGTTGTTGAGGTGGTTTGGTTACTTAGAATGGATCAAAGTAGAATGACATGGAGAGCGTATAAATCTGTAGAGGAAGGAAGGAGGGGTAGAGGTTGTCCTGGAAAAGGTTGGAGGGAGGGGGTAATGGAGGTTTTGTGGGCGAGGGGCTTGGACTTCCAGCAAGCATGCGTGAGCGTGTTAGGAGTGAATGGAGACGAATGGTATTTGGGACTTGACGAGTTGTTGGAGTGTGAGCAGGGTAATATTCAGTGAAGGGATTCAGGGAAACTGGTTATTTTTATATAGCCAGACTTGAGTACTGGAAATGGGAAGTACAATGCCTGCACTTTAAAGGAGGGGTTGGGATATTGGCAGTTTGGAGGGATATGCTGTATATCTTTATACGTATATGCTTCTAAACTGTTGTGTTCTGGGCACCTCTGCAAAAACAGTGATTATGTATGAGTGAAGTGAAAGTGTTGAATGATGATGAAAGTATTTTCTTTTTGGAGATTTTCTTTCTTTTTGGGTCACCCTGCCTCGGTGGGAGACAGCCGACTTGTTGAAAAAAAATAATAATGCTAATATAATAAATAAAAATGATAATAATAATATACACAGACATGTTGCAGTTTTTAAACTGTAGTACGTATTGGCATGACTCTGGCAAGAGAGTGATGGAATGAGTGATAATATTACAGTTCAAAAATTGCAACATATCTCCATCCCTCCTTCAGCATGCAGGCACTTGTAGTCTTAAGTTAGGCTTACGCTTGTTTGAAATGTTCTGTATAACCATGGGCTTTCTACATGCATTATCAAGTGTTAAAGCCATATAGCATAAACTAACAGAATAATTAATTCTCTTGTATTTATTGTAAACTCCTAAATGTACACTTTATTGTTACTGCTTTATTAATCTTAAGTTAATGTAAAGTTTGCCCAAAATGCTCGGTATATACAGGGACTTTTGGCATGTACACCCAAATGTCGTTCTCCTTTGTACAAACATTGTATGCTGAAATAAAGTATTATTATTATTGTTATTATTACGTATTATTATTATTATTATTATATGGAAATAAATTCTGAATTTGAATTTAAATTTATCTACATTTATGTACACGGTAGTGAGGATTTGGAGCTTGACTGACCTGCATGATAGAGTTGTTGGGCAAGGTTGTTAGCTAGTGCTGGATCATGGTTATGTTCATCCCTGCTGCAGGCACACATGGAAATTAGGAGACGACGGAAGTCTCCAGAAGTGTCTCCTCCAAGGTCATTCTCTAATTTCTTATGGTAGCGATGGTAGTAGGCATTCTTGATCTCCCTAAACAAAAAAAAAGATTTAAAAACTGGAGGTGAAAATTAATGTTTTGGCAACGAGACATCACTTGTAACTCATGCGTGTTGTAAGAGGCGACTAAAATGCCTAAGCAAGGGTCTAGTAAAAAAAAAAAATTCTACTGAAACCTTCATGAGATGCAAGACTCACATGAGAGAAGCATTATCCCTAGTGCAGAGAATTTCCACCAGTGTTCTCTCATTCGTGCCAATCCCTGCGATGGCATTGTTGATTTCCTGGGCAAGGTAGATTGGCAGCGGTGTCATCAGAGCAATGATCCCGTCTTCAAACTTGCCGCTAAGTTCACTCTTCAAATCCTTCACCAAATCCTGTCCGTTTGGTAAACAAAGTTAGTGCATATACTATGTGCCATCAAACTGTTGTCAATCCTGGTAAAACGAAGCCAAACTCAAGACTTGAAAACAAAAATGTACTGATTAACCCTTAAACGGTCCAAACAGATCGACGTTCAAATCCATAGTGCTCCAAAAGTAGATCTACATTTTTTTACATATTTTCGAACATAACAAAAAAACAAATGTAGATAAAAGTTTTTTACACATTTTCAAATGAAAAAAAAAAGATGATCTATATTTTTTTACATACTTTCAAATGTTGAAAAAACGTATATATACGTTTGGACCATTTAAGGGTTAATTGTTGCATTTTTCTTTTTAGCTATTTTTTTTAGCTATTGTTTAAAACAAATTACTGACAGACTCATTTTCTTAAATAACTTTACAATAAGGAGAATCAATATCCTCGACATAACAGACTTACAGAAAATAGCAAATAATATCTTCTTTAATAATAGTACTTTTAACTCTTTATATTCAATGTTTAATAACGAATATCAGTAAATTGCATTTAGAGTAGCAGACAACATAAGTTTGTGTTTTTTACTATTTTTTAACATTATTCAGATTTAACTGAAATAATTCCATTAACAGTTTATCAAATTAAGATTTTACTAGCGATGTTGTACATATAAATTACTAGAATATTGTGTGACTACAAGAGCAAGACGAAGTCACACTAGAGACCTAGAAACTAGCAATGATGTCACTCTAAAATGTAAGTACAGGTGATTCTTGACTTACAATATTTCGACTATACAATGGTGCAATTACACCTACCATCCGACTTACGACCGAGTTCGGTTCCGAGAAACCGGTCGTAAGTCGAAATGGTCATAAGTCAAACTTTACTACTGAATATCAACATCACATTTTTGTAATGACTTTATTTTATTGTTTTATTTTGGTATTTCATGTTTTACTTGACTTTTTATGTTGTTAGTACTGTATTTTATACTGTAAGGTTTAGGATAAACACTGTGTACAACACAAATAGTTGTTTATTTCCCAGAAATTTGGCATAAAAAACACGATCGTAAGTCGAGCAGTCGTAAGTCGAGCAGGTCATAAGTCGGATGGTAGGTGTATTTTGGAGATGAAACCTGAGACAAATGCTCATCATGAAGGCAGGAAGTCCATTATTTGTATTCATTTATTTACTTTTCAATAATGGTATTTAATTAGTTATAGTAATTATTTGTTTATTTACTTATTCGGTGACAGTACAGTAGTTATTTACTTATTTAGCATATCATTCATATTCGACTTGTGATATTTTCAACTTAAGTTAGGTTTGTCGGAACGTAACCCCATGGTAAGTCAAGGATCATCTGTATGTTGTGTAATAATGACATCTATGTGTACTATAAATACCTGTGCTATTTATAATTACAAAGGTAAGAGGTAAGTGAATGCATGTGTGTATATGTGCGTGCATGTGCTCACCTATTTGTGGTTGCAGGGGTCGAGACATAGCTCCTCACCCAGCCTCTTCACTGATCGCTACTAGGTCCTCTCTCTCCCTGCTCCATGAGCTAATCATACTTCATCTTAAAACTATGTATGGTTCCTCCCTCCACTATGTCACTTTCCAGACTATTCTACTCCTGACACCTCTAAGACTGAAGAAATACTTCCTAACATCTCTTTGACCCATCTGAGTCTTGAACTTCCAAATGTGACCCCTTGTTTCTGTGTCCCATCTCTGGAACATCTTGTGTGTGTGTGTGTGTGTGTGTGTGTGTGTGTGTGTGTGTGTGTGTGGTGTGTGTGTGTGTGTGTGTGTGTGTGTGTGTGTGTGTGTGTGTGTGTGTGTGTGTGTGTGTGTACACAGACTTATTAATTCAATTACTTACAATTATTTTACTTCAATTTTCAATTATATATAAAAAATTCACATTATAAATTAATAGTGCAAGATTTTAAAATCACATCTTATATCTAACATGCATAAAATGATTGAATGTTTTAAATAGAAACCTTAACAAGTGAGATAAAATGTGGAGCACAAGCTCTTTTTTGAAGTTCCTCAATACTGTGTGATTTTTTGTGAATGTGACAGAAAAAGTTCATCCTAAATTGAATAGCTCGTGGAAAGGTCGTCACAGTATGTGCTATTCAATTCTGGATGAAGTTTTTCAAATCAAATTCACCAGAAAATTGCTCTATATATAGGAGCTTTATTAGAAATCTTACTTATATACAGTTAGGTCTCAATTTGTGCAAATAATGAATCCAGTGAAGTTTTCATATTAGTATACTAATTCATACTATACGAAATACATCAGTTTTGCACACATTTTTTTTTTTTTTGGGGGGGGGGGGGGGAAGGGGGACTAGCATTAATTAATTTCGCACTAAACTGAAATTCTCACTTACTGAACTTCCACTAATCGAGGCCTAACTGTACACAAGACCCTTCGAGTGATGCGAATTTAGAAGTCAATACTGTGCCTAGAAGCAAGCATGAACTCTTTATATAATTCCAAAGAATTTCAACTTAAAATCCCATGGCGATAGCATGGTTAGTCGCACAACCCAAGACAAATGCAGAATTCTTTCCGTTTTATTCTGATGCGCATAATTGTGAGAGGAAAGTATTTTGAAAAAAAAAAAAAAAAGGCATATGATTACAATACACATTTGCATATGCACTGTCTGTAAAGCTCATGATGACAGTATATATATGTACACACAAAAAAATACCTACATACCAATAGGATATCTATACACCAACAGTACACATGTACACCAAGATAGTATACATGTATACCAAGACAGTACACATGTATACCAAGGCAGACAGTATACATTTATGTATACCAAGGTAGACAGTATACATGTATAACCAGACAGCATACATTTACATCATGACAGTGAACATATACTCCAAGACAATACACACATAATTAAAGCAAGCTGTTTTTATGAGAATAAAGAATAACTACCAATTATAAATAGATAATTTTCAACTAGTATGCAGTAAGCTCTCTGATAAACCCATTCTATGTATGTAATGCAAATTTTTGTAAATGCAATTGAAAAAGTACCAAAAACTGAATGACACACACTATTAAGACCTTACATGCATTATTCAACTTTCAATTTTCAAATTTTAATGTACTTTTTCAACTGCATTTACAAAAATCTGCACTACTGTATATAGAGGAGCTTTATAAGGCTACATTGAAAAATATGTATACAAAATACATGAAAACAAAGCAGAAGATATAAAGTGTCTGTTGGATGGTATTTCCAATTTGCAAGCAAAAAGTGGCAATGAAATTGATGAAAGGAATTTTGGGGAATAAAGAAAAAATATTCAATTGAACATGAGTGTAAATAATTGACATATTCGAAAACAGGATAAGGAATAAAATATTAAGTGTACACCTTGATAGGAAAATACAATTGAACAAGACACATAAGCATCACTTAGGTATCTTTTATCATGTGTTTAACCTACACATCTGGCTTCTTCAATTGAATACAGACAAAAACAAAACAGGAGACAGTAGAAGTAATTTTGGGGTGAATAGTCCCTCAGCCTTTGTAGGAGATGCCTTCTACTGAGGCATAATTTTGATGCCTAATTCTTAATTAGTCTTTAACCCTTTCAGGGTCCATGCCGTAGATCTATGGCTTTACATTCTGGGTCCAAACCATAGATCTACGCCAAAATTCTAGCGGCGTCAAATTTAGCGCAAAAACGCTGGTAGGCCTACATGTGAGAGAACGGGTCTGCGTGGTGTGTGTGCGCTGTATACAAAAATTCTAGGCGCCCGCATAGCATTGTGGGAATGCCGGCTCAGTTACCTTTGTTCACCATGCCTCATCGCAAGTCAGCTCTCACTCCAAGGAAAATTGGGACTCTTCTCTTCCTATCTGATAGTTCTGACTCTGATGGAAGTGGAAATGAAGACGAATTCTTTGGCTTTGATCAGTTAGTGACTGAAAGGAATGACCAGGATATCGATAATAGTGCAGAAAACCCTGATGATCCTCACCCTTCTACCTCTGGTGTAGGCACTCCTCAGTCACGGTCAGTTGTACCTCATCGCAAGAGAAAACTATTATTTTCGCATGGCCAGGCCTCTGACTTCAGTAATGATGATGATAGTGACGTGGATTGTGATTTTATTGCTCTTGACGATCATTCGAGTAGTGATAGTGAGGAAACATATTCACCAGTGAAGCGTCGGTATATACGCCGCCGCATGCGCTCGGGTAGTGTTCCCTATGCAGTGCCCAGGGGACGGAGTACATCCCAGAGTACATCCCGTGGCCCTACACCAGGAATAGACAGTGAAAGTGAGGATGATGTGGCTACACTTGGCATGGATAGACCACAGGCATCAGTAGGTGGTAGTGGTGATGGTAGTGCCACGGCCATGCGTGACTCACCAGCCCAGGCTGGGACCCACGCTGCTGACTCCTCAGTTCAAGGACAAAGCGGAGTGTCAGCCACCAGCCCACCACAACCACAACTACCAGCACAACCAGCCTATGATGTCCAGTATCCACCAGTAAACCGTATCTGGGATTGGCAGCAAAATCCCAATTCTGTTCCCAAGCCTCACCACTTTGATGACTCTCAAAGTGAAATTCTACCTACTTGTCCCCTTGGAACCACTGCCAATGAACTGGAATTTTTTGAACCATTCTTTGACCAGCCCTTGATAGAAACTATTGTCAGGGAAAGTAACAAGTATTTTGAGTACACCATGGCAAATACGATGATATCACCACAGTCAAGACTACACCGGTGGAAAGAGACGACTGTTGCAGAAATGTATTTGCTTTTTGCAACAATAATGCTTATGCCTCATGTCTATAAGCACAATATAAAAGCATACTGGTCCACAGATCGGCTAATTTCTACCCCGGTCTTCAGTGAAATCATACCAGTGAACAAGTTTATCTTACTGTTACATATGTTGCACTTCTCAGACAAAACCAGGCCTGACAGAAGTGACAGGTTATACAAGATTAAAAATGTTTTTATGTATCTGAAAGAAAAGTTCAACATGTACTTTTATCCATTCAAGAATCTTGTACTTGGCAAATCTTTGATTTTGTTCAAAGGTAGACTGTTATTCAAACATTACATACCGAGCAAGAGGAAACATTTTGGTATAAAACTGTTTGTACTCTGTGACTGTGACAGTGGCCTGGTATTGGATATTGTTGTATACACGGGAAGTAAAACATTGAGAGATACCAAAATGTTATTGGGTATCTCAGGTGATGTAGTGAGAAGCATGATGGCACCTTATCTTGGTAAGGGGCATACATTATATACTGATAACTGGTACACAAGCTCTTTACTCAGTGATTTCTTGCCAGTGAACAAGACAGATGTGTGTGGCACAGTGCGTTCTAATCGTAAACATATGCCCAGGTTCAACGCAGGCACTCGTGGTGATGAGGTGTAGGTGTTTATTGCCAATGAATATCATGGCATTACAGTGGCATGACAAACGAGATGTCACATTGTTGACAACCATTCACCGTAACGAAATGCAAGACAGCGGCAAAGTTGATAGAATGACTAATGAACATATTCAAAAACCAGTGACAGTGATTGATTATACACAAAACATGCGCTTGGTTGACAAATGTGATATGTAGATTGGCTTTGTTGATTGTGTTCATAAGTGTTACAAGTGGTATATGAGACTTTTCTTCCATCTCATGGACATTTCAATGCTCAATGCATATAATATGTACCAAGTGAAGACTGGCAACAGACCACCGTATAGTGAATTTTGTTTGTCTGTTGTCAGACAACTTATAATGAAATACCAGGTAACAACACCTGCTATACAAAACCGTCCTCGAACTCCTCAGGATATACCCAGGCGTTTGAGGAGGGAAGGTGATCACTTCATAATACAGCTTCCTGCAACTAAGAAGAAATTTGCTCAGAAGAGTTGTGTTGTCTGTGCACAAACAAAACGACGGCAACAAAGACGCAAAGACACTCGGTTTATGTGCGAGGAATGTAAGGTACCTCTGTGTATGGTGCCTTGTTTCAAGGAGTTCCACAAGCTGCAGCAGTTCTAAAAACATGTCCAGTGATTGTACATATGTAAATATATGATAGAACATTAGTATTATACAAGATTTGTGCATGTTTATTGTAATAAACAAAAGTGGTAAACAATATTATGATAACTTTAGTGCAGCTATTGTGTTCAATACAGTGAGTTTATATATATACATTATATACAGTATTGGTCTCTCAGGCCCCAAATGTTAGTAGGAAAAGAAAAAAATTAGAAAAGAAAAGAAAAAACTATAAAAAACGTAAAATAAAGTAATGCGCGTATGTGGAAATCGTCGATGTTGCCACTACCCGGTCATTTTGGGTCAACTTCTCGGCACTGTATCTCGGTAAGTACTGAGCAGATTTTTTTTTATTTTATTACCTTCACAAAAATATACTCTTTAATTCTGTAAGAAAAAATAATTTTTTTTTTTTTCAAAATTTCTTGGACACTGGGGCACTCCTTCCGATTTTGGCCTTGGACCCTGAAAGGGTTTAGTGTTATAATTAGTTTGCCCAAAATAAATTGCATACTAGTGGCTTTCTTTTGTGTCTAACAATGCTTTATTACATGTAATCTACATTATCTTTGTGTCTAACAATGCTTTATTACATGTAATCTACATTATCTTTGTACAGCATAAATAGAAATAAAAATTTGAATTTGAATTGATTGCCTCATATTTATTTCTACTATCTCTGGTTTTATATTTGACTGTATTCAACTGCAGAAGTTTGCTGTGTAATGAAGCAGTGCATCAATACAGATACTCAAGTTGATAGGTAAGATACATGTGCAACAGTAACAGCCTGGTTGATCAGATCCTGATCCACCACGAGGCCTGGTCTCAGATCGAGCCGGGTGGCGATGACCCCCTAAACCCTCTCCGGGTATCTTTATTCCAAAATGTTTCACCTAAACAGTTCTTCAAACAGAGGAGGCAGTAGAAACAGTAGAGATGTAAAAAGATGTAATCAGTCCATCACCCTTGATAATGTAGTTCTGAGGTAGCCAGTCCCTCAGGCTGGAGAAGAGTTCTGTTCCATAGTCTGGTACAATGTTCCCAACTATAGAACAGAACTCTTCTCCAGGCTGAGGGACTGGAGTTTACCTGGAGAGAGTTCCGGGGGTCAACGCCCCCGCGGCCTGGTCTGTGACCAGGCCTCATGGTGGATCAGAGCCTGATCAACCAGGCTGTTACTGCTGGCTGCACCCAATCCAATGTACGAGCCACAGCCCGGCTGGTCAGGTACCGACCAGGTACTGACCACCTTAAAACTGTCTTCTAGGGTAATGGACTGATTACACCATCTTTACAACTCAACTGCTTGTTGCCTTCTCTGTATTCAACTCAAGAAGCCTACTGTCGAGGCAAAACATTATGGATTATCCTAGGTAATTTACACATATGTTACTATGTATGATAATTTGTGTAGCTGTATCATGTGATGTAATACCACTGGAGGCGATGTACGTAATACCACTGGAGAGGCAGAGTAATGAGATAATGGTCATGCCTTCAGAGTGTGTTACTTTACCATCCGTAATGTTTATACACAAAGTAAATCAGTCTTGAGCTCAGTGATCATGCCATGTAAATATCTCTGATATTACTAAAAAAAAAATTGTGATGGCAATATTTATAAAAATGTTTTAACATTTTTACAGGCACATGCATGCTACTTAATAAGGCACTCATGTTACCATGGTAAGCAAAAAAAACACAGGGGGAGTTAACTGAGAGCTCTAGGCCTTTTGTCTTGCTATCAACACATCTTCAGGAGCTTGCAAAGTTGCAGAAATGAGTATGAAATCCAGGTAAATTCGTTCAAGGGAATGACTCGACCTAGTTACTCGTTTCCTTGATGAATCTACCGGACTTCCTACTCATTTCTGCAGCATTGCAAGCTCCTGAAGATATGTTGATTGCAACATGAAAGGCCTAGAGCTATCATTCAACTCCCCCACTGTGATTGTTTTGCATGTTGTATTGCTTGTTCGCAATTATTTCATTACCATGGTATACTAAACTGATGTTCCATATTATGAAGTATAGTATACAGAAATTTAAAAGCAAATACTGGCTTTCTTTCGTGCCTAACAATATATTACAGGTGCTCTTTGACTTACAATAGTTCAACTTACGATATTTAGACTTTATGACGGTGCAAAAGCAATTACTGTGGCAATGAAGCTTAAGATAACTATCAGCATGAAGGCAGCAGGTACACATTTTTTTCTTTTCAATACTGGTAATTAATTAGTTACAGTAATTATTTGTATACAGCCTCTCCTCACTTAACGATGGAGTACCGTTCCTAATACCGCGTTGGTAAATGAATTCGTCACTAAACGAGGAGCATACTATAATGGTAGAGGGTTTATGTCAACCATCTTTGATACTGCTTTATGTCACCCTTGCACCATTTATAACATTTTTAGTATACAGTGGTACCTCGAGTTATGAACTTAATTCGTTCCAGAAGGCTGTTCGAGTGCCGATACCGAACGAATTTGTTCCCATAAGGAATAATGTAACTTAGATTAGTCCGTTTCAGACCCCCAAAAATACACTTACAAAAGCACTTACAAAAATACACTTACATAATTGTTTGAGTTGGGAGCTGTTCGAAACTTGAGGTACCACTGTATTTTTAAATGTTTATACAGTAGTGTACTGTATATTGTAATAAAAAGAATAGAGGAAATCAGCTCTAATATACATCATTTAGGTATGCATACTAGTCAGAGCCCATCGTAAGTGTGAGTCGTCGGTAAACAAGTACATCGCTAAGTGAAGAGAGGCTGTATTTGCTTATTCAGTGACAGTAGTTCTTTATTTACTTATTTAGCATATCATATTTGACTTACAATATTTTTGACTTAGTATATGGCTTCATTGGAGCATAACCCCACTGTAAGTCAAGGCTCACCTGTACGTGTAAACTACATTATCTGTAACTGCATAAAAGAAATAAAAAAACTGAATTTGAACTAGGTACTCAATTAAACAAAACATGGCCCTGAAAAAATGATGAAACTTTAATGTGTCCTGTGCTTTGTGATTTAGACACCATAGCGTTCACAGCCCCTGGAGCATCATGCATAGGATGCGCACAAGATAGTCTGCACAGATCTAGAAGGTGAATAATGAGCCATGGGAGTAACTTACCCCAGTTAGTCCTTTCTTTGTGCCACCTCCCTCCTCCTATATCGCAGGTAAGGGAAATACAAAAACCACAGATAAACAGTAGACAAAAGACACAGACACCTCAGGTTTTTGTATATTTCACAGGAACATCCTGTGTACATATTACTCAAACTTGTAGTCTTAACATTACAATAGTGGTAATACGTTGTTTTTACATGAAAAAAAATCCACTTACATTTTATTAATACTTAAACACTCAATATGAAAAGACAAAATACAGATGCAAAATGCACAAATAGATAAAATTTTCATCTTTCAACACTGATATTACAATTATCTGAATGTTTAAAATATATAAATACTATTACATTGACCATTTAATAGAAACTATGTATTGTGCCAAAACATTGCTAAACTCACAAACTAGTATTTGTCACTTAGTATTTAGTCACTTAGTATTTAGTCAACTTACTCCACAATTTGTTATAATTTAGGGTTAAGAATTAATCTAAGTTTGCCCGAAATGCCTAGCCATGCTAGGTGTCCTAGTGGCCCCCTCTGTAATTAGTATTTTACTACATGTAAATCACACAATAACCAAAATCTGTAAACCCTGCATTGTAATCCTTCTAGAGAATAAACTTTGATTTGATTTGATTTCCCACTGAGGCAGGGTGGCCCCCCCCCAAAAAAGGAAGAAACACTTTCACTAACACTCACTCCATCATCCCTGCAGCCAGGTCTCAGAGTATGTTTCTTAAAGTGAACATTGCTTACCTCTAACACAAAAACTTTTCTCATACCAACAATGTATTGTGCAACTGTTACTTCAACTTTTCAATGATATGAGAGTCCTTTACAAAGCTCGAGGTCTCCTCAGTGATATCAGCCAACTGACAATTCACCAGTTTCAAAAAGTAATTTCTTAACTTTTAGTTATCTTTCTGCACAATTCACTTCAGTATAATATAATTTTTTAATCCTTTGCATTTAGAAGCTAAATTTGGTCCTGAAATATGAAGTTTAACTACAGTACTGTAGTGTATTATGTATCTTTACATCAATAAAAGATTACATAACCATAAAAACTGTTTTGTATTGTTGTTAGCCGGCCCAGTGGCTAACACATCGGGTCTGGAGTTTTAGACTCGCTAACCGCGAGTTCAAGCCCCGTCTGTGGTATGATTTGTATTGTATTTCATAACTCTCTAAAAATTTTAAATAAAAAATGCATTTCTAAATAAGGATGTACACTGAAAACTTGCATAATATTTATCCACATCTCAGACTAACCCTGCCAAAAGCCTGCTGATACTTTAACATAATCTGCTGTCGCTCGTGCGAGGTTCTGCGGGAAAGAACGTTGATGATGGCAGCCTCATCTGTGCCAAAGCCCTTCATGGCTTTTCTCAGAACCGAAGCATCACTACTCGGGTCAAAGTGGGGTGAAGGCCGCACGGTGGGAATCTCCTGTCAAAGAAGATACAGAAATGTAAATCTAAATATCATTAAAAGAAGAGTATCATTCTTATTCTCAAAATGACAGGGAATTATTAGGAGAAAAAAGTACTGTAATGTCAATGAATACACTGAGTAGAATAAGTAACTCAGAAAACTACCAATTTCTAAATAAAATCTGATGCAAGAATACTAAAAAAAAAAAATTTCCCTGACATATACGGTGGAAGAATAACAGAAAGGCTTACAAAAGTAGGCAGTAAGTTCTACAACCACTGGAAACTTGAACTTTACAAGAGAGTAAATGCCACAGATGGGACACTACAAGCTTAGTTCTGCTCCTGTAACTACAAACAGGTAATCTAAATTTGTTAACAGTTTTGATATGGAAAAAATTCTGGCAGCTGTTTTCTTTTTTTAAAAAAACTGGCCATCTCCCACTGAGGTAGGGTAACCTAAAAATGAAGAAACACTTTCACCATCACTCACTCCATCACTATTTTGCCAGAAGGGTGCAGGCACTATACTTCCCACCTCCAGGACTCAAGTCTGGCTAATTGGTTAACTTGAATCCCTTCATAAATGCTATCTTGCTTACATTACAATAAGTAGTATGTGAACCTTATGATTAATCAGCCTGAAATGCACTCACATACAAATTACAGTGGTACCTCGAATTTCGAACAGCTCCCAACTCGAACAATTATGTAAGTGTATTTTTGTAAGTGCTTTTGTAAGTGTATTTTTGGGGGTCTGATACGGACTAATCTAATTACATTATTCCTTATGGGAACAAATTCGTTCAGTAATGGCACTCGAACAGCTTTCTGGAACAAATTTCGGCCAAAATTCGAAGTACCATGGTATATTTGTAATACAAAAGGATAAAATTCTAAATATAATCAGTTTGAATACACTATAACTGCTGTAAATAAACTGTATGGCTCATAAGAAATAAAAAAAAAATAATTTTAATGTTTACGATGAATGTAAAACTGAATTATAAATGTTAGTTTTTCCTTGGTTAATTAATACCAAAAATATTCATAATAAGTGTATGTTTATTTTGTGCACTGACAGAGAGGGATAACATAGAGAAGATGGAGGGATTGACAGAGGGATAGTGAGATAGATGAAGAAGTATCTGATGGAGGGATAGTGAGATAGATGAAGGAGTGTTTGATGGAGGGACAGTAAGATGAGGGAGTGTTTGATGGAGGGACAGTAAAATGAGTGTTTGATGGAGGGAGAGTAAGATGAGGGAGTGTTTGATGGAGGGACAGTAAGATGAGGGAGTGTTTGATGGAGGGACAGTAAGATGAGGGAGTGTTTGATGGAGGGACAGTAAAATGAGTGTTTGATGGAGGGAGAGTAAGATGAGGGAGTGTTTGATGGAGGGAGAGTAAGATGAGGGAGTGTTTGATGGAGGGACAGTAAGATGAGGGAGTGTTTGATGGAGGGACAGTAAGATGAGGGAGTGTTTGATGGAGGGACAGTAAAATGAGTGTTTGATGGAGGGAGAGTAAGATGAGGGAGTGTTTGATGGAGGGACAGTAAGATGAGGGAGTGTTTGATGGAGGGACAGTAAGATGAGGGAGTGTTTGATGGAGGGAGAGTAAGATGAGGGAGTGTTTGATGGAGGGAGAGTAAGATGAGGGAGTGTTTGATGGAGGGAGAGTAAGATGAGGGAGTGTTTGATGGAGGGACAGTAAGATGAGGGAGTGTTTGATGGAGGGAGAGTAAGATGAGGGAGTGTTTGATGGAGGGACAGTAAGATGAGGGAGTGTTTGATGGAGGGACAGTAAGATGAGGGAGTGTTTGATGGAGGGACAGTAAGATGAGGGAGTGTTTGATGGAGGGACAGTAAGATGAGGGTGTTTGATGGAGGGACAGTAAGATGAGGGAGTGTTTGATGGAGGGACAGTAAGATGAGGGAGTGTTTGATGGAGGGACAGTAAGATGAGGGAGTGTTTGATGGAGGGACAGTAAGATGAGGGAGTGTTTAATGGAGGGACAGTAAGATGAGGGAGTGTTTGATGGAGGGATAGGGAGGTGAGAGTATTGGATAGAGGACATTGAGGGAAAGTATCAGAGAGGAAAAGCCTATGAGATAGTAGGAAAAGTGTGAGGGAGAAGAGAGGTAGTGTGAAAGAAAGGCAGTGTGATGGAGGGAGAGAGGGAGTGACTCACCCTCTCTCCCTACTCCCTCATGGATAAGTCATAACACGTGCACAGGCGACCGGACACACCTCCATGATAACATATCTAAACACCAGAAGTGAACTGCTCAGGATTCACTGGAATATTGTTACCACCAGCACTAACAAGCAACACAAAGTAACACAAACTCTGCAGTAACATTATCACTATGAGGTTATACTATTAATGTTAAAAAAAAAATAAAAAATCTAAGCCATAAGGAATATCCATAACTTCTAAGTTATGTGGGGGTACTGTAATTATATTTCATATGAGCAACAGCTAAGAAATCCTACTAAATAATCTATGTCTAGCTCTTAGAATTAGTTTGCTCAAAATGCATTGCATACTAGTGGCTTTCTCTTGTGCTTAACAATATTTTATTATGTGAAAAGAAATAAACAATCTGAATTTGAATTTTAAGTCATTAACAAGGCCCAACTTTCACCTAAACAAGTAACAATTGTGGAAAATTTTGAATTTTCCTAAATTCAGCATGTATAAATTTTAATTATATAATAATTGTATATTAAAATGTGATGCTGATTTGACCCTTCGAGAAATTTCGAGTGAGGGGGGGATGTGGAACAGCAGGGGAGATGCCTGCTGAAGAATTGGGACAGGAAATTTGCAGGACCTCAAGAATTACATGTGGATGGGGGAAGATAACGGATAAGACCATCACTCACAGGGAAGTGTGCCATTAGTCTTTGTATTTAGATCTCTAACTGGCCAGTGTAGGGTCTAGGTGTTAGGCAGGTGTTGTGGTGTGATCCATTTACAATAATTAAATGGTAAGTGGTAATACAAATTTCTTTTGTGTACCCAATAAGCCTAATCATGTAAAGTCCACAACTTTAATTTACCAGAGTAACTGGTTTTAATACTGTAATTATTAATTTAATGTCAGGTCTAAATTTTTGTTAGAGTGGTGAAGAAGTGGGCATCAAGGGAGTTACAGTTCGGCAACCTACTGTGACTCAAGTCCCACTTATCTCACCCAAATTACTTTCAGGTAATAATTCAGGTAACTTATCTCACCCAAATTACTTTCAGGTAATAATTCAAGTAATACCCTGTAAACCTCATGCAGGTAATTTACTCACATAATAATAATAATAATAATAATAATAATAATAATAATAATAATAATAATAATAATTATAAATTAACCATTGTGCAATTCACATTATATTTTAAATTGTAAATAAAAGGAAAACTGCAACATTAACACCCCTCTGAAGGGGTGTTAATGTTGGTTTTATAACTGCAGGGTCAGCACGACTCTGGCAAGACAGTGATGGAATGAATGATGAAAGGTTTTCTTTTTCGGGCCACCCTGCCTTGGTGGGAGACGGCCGATGTGTTAATAAAAAAAAGGGAAAACCATCAGACTTTAAAAAGAATTTAAAAGGAATATTTGCCAGTAAATAATTATGTAAGTACGTAAGTAAGAAGTTACATTCAGATTTACACTATCCTTATCAACGACGTGACTAATAATTCACTTTCATATTACAAAAATCATAATCTGAAAGCTATTAAAACTTTTCAGTCTGCTATTTATATACTCTATAAACCATACTAATAATTCGTCCTGCGTAAAATCCGGACTGAAACGTTATCAGATGTACACTACCAATATCCACACTTTCCACTAGTATTATGGCCATTATTCTTATTATTATTATTATTATTATTATTATTATTATTATTATTATTATAAAACCAAGCACTAAACCTACTATGGCCATACAGCAATATACCAGCTTTTAGTGTAATGACACCCACCGCTATTATAAATATAACTTTTCTGGCATGTGTACGTTGTATTTTAACACTGTCATCCTCTAGTGTCACGTTTCTGTCATATATATACGTTGTACTCTAACACTGCCAGCCTCTAGTGTCATGTTTCTGTCATGTATATGTTGTATTCTAACACTGTCAACCTCTAGTGTCACGTTTGTCATGTACACGTTGTATTCTAACACTGCCAACCTCTAGTACCACGTTTCCGTCATGTATACGTTGTATTCTAACACTGCCCGCCTCTATGTCACGTTTCTGTCATGTATACGTTGTATTCTAACAGTGCCAGCCTCTAGTGTCACGTTTCTGTCATGTATATGTTGTATTCTAACACTATCAGCCTCTGGTGTCACGTTTCTGTCATGTATACATTGTATTCTAACACTTCCCGCCTCTAGTGTCACGTTTCTGACATGTATACGTTGTATTCTGACACTGCCAGGGTCTAGTGTCACGTTTCTGTCATGTATACATTGTATTCTAACACTGTCCGCCTCTAGTGTCACGTTTGTCATGTATACGTTGTATTTTAACACTATCAGCCTCTAGTGTCACGTTTCTGTCATGTATACGTTGTATTCTAACACTATCAGTCTCTAGTGTCACATTTCTGTCGTGTATACGTTGTATTCTAACAGTGCCAGCCTCTAGTGTCACGTTTCTGTCATGTATACGTTGTATTTTGACACTACCAGCTTTCAATATTATAAGCAAATACACTAGAGCACGCCTACTAGCCTATGCTAGGCAGGTCCAATTCACACCCACTTATGTACCCATTCACAAGTTCTTGCGTCAGTGTCATTTCCTGCGAGTTTCTTTCCGCTCATCTATTATTATTATAATCAAGGGGGAAGCGCTAAACCCGGAGGATTATACAGCGCCTGGGGGGGGGGGGATGTGGAAGGCATTCAGGCTTAATTAGGGGAACTGGAGCACAGATCCAATTCCCTAAATCAAGAGCCCCTCACCAACATCAAGGAACCTTCCTTGAGGGGTCT